GGTTCCACAACCCCCTTCCTACTAGCTATCCTTAAGTGGCTAGCTTAGGATTTCGGGATTGCGCTGAGGTGGTGAGGTGTTTGAAGAGTAATTGGGATGCATATGAGCTGCAGAGCTCATGGGTGTTTTAGACTTTTACTTTGGCTTTTGGCTTCCTTGTTTGCGAAAGACTTGACTTCTTGGGGATGGCTATTTGTCTGGTAGTGGTTGTTTCTTTTGTCTCGCTAGACATTTCCTACTGCTCTTAGAATATTGAGTACACACATAGATAGACATATCAACTATATAGACCTATACATACACTATACATTACAATCACGGTTTCCAAGTTGAACATCAGATACACAACGAACTTTGGCTTACTATCAGACCGTCTTTGAGCCGCATCAAACAAAGAGTGATGTTCCCAAAGAGCTTATGTTCAGTAATTTCTCCACCATTTCACAACTCTCGCCACGGGACGGTCTCTTTCGTACATCAATTCCTATTCCCTCTCCTCAGACCGTATTCCTACCTAACCATTGCCGTCCTTCCATTACCCCTAACCCACTGACTCGATCTCCTAACCCCAATCCACTTCTACTTATATACCCAGACCCGGACCCGGACCACGCCGGACCCAACCCCGATCGTCTCCACACCACCACCACCACCAACACCCACCGCCCCACAACACCAAAAAGAATTTTCACATTCTCCGCTTCATAACCCCAACTCCCCGACCGTCTTCCAACAACAAATCGGACCATATCAGTTCAATCGGGTATGGTGTAGCGGTAACATCGTTGACTCTCACTTCTTAGGAGTGACTGCTCTCTCTCAACAGCCCCGGGTTCGACTCCCGGTATCCGAGTCTCAAATATCTTTTTTGCCGATTTTCTCCTTTGTTACTTCCCTCTTTTTTTTTTTTCGTTAACTTTTCTTCGCTGACTGGCATCTTTGCTGTTGAACATGCATGCACACATAATCACCGGAGCTGTAATTTTTTTGAGGTGACGATTTGTTTTTTTTGCGTGGGACTTGCGGAAGGGAGTGAGGTTTCTGTGCTGGAACGGTTTTGTTCACGGTGTTGAAAAGCGATCGTGTTGCGTTGCGTTGGGTTGTTGTTATGGGTTGTGTGTGTGTGCACCTGGACACATTGAAACTATCGCTGCCTTCCATCTGAATCGGAGCCGCACTTGGAATGAATACCTGCCGCGGGAATGATTGATGATCTTTTGACTTCGTCAATACCAGCTGGTTTACTTTCGCGTTGTCTCCTGTTAGTTTTGTACTTCAGAGGTTTGGCTACCTAACATCCATCTTTTCCGTTGTCATTATCCGTTTCTGTCGTCTGTGCTTGTCTTCCTCCCACCTGTTCATCCCTTCCTTCCTCTTACACATCACCGTCGTTGCCATCCCAATTCTCTACGCTTCTTCCAATAGGCAAGGAAGCACACCGAAGCCCACTCCTCCATTTCCTGCAATTAGTTTAGACCATCAAAAAAAAAAAAAGAAGTCCGCGCCTGGACACAGGAACGTCACAGGAGGAGAGATACGAGAGGCTCCACCACACACAACGAAAATCCCGCAAAAAATAAAAAAGAAACATGCCCAATAACAGGATTGAACTGTTGACCTTCGCATTGACTTGATATCTCGGAAACAAGATATTAGTACGACGCTCTAACCAGCTGAGCTAATCGGGCTTTGTTGAAAGTTGGGGTTTGGAGTTGAACTTATGTTGTTGCACCGACAACGGATGGGATGCGGAATGCGGAGGTTGTCACAGCACGCAAATTATGGGCTGGCGCATCGAAAAGGTCTGGCGAAAGTAGTAAGATACTGATGACGAAGAGAAGAAGAGAAGGAATCCAAGGTACATTTACACAAGAGATGGGATGGAGGTTCTTATAATGCGATGACAGCCCAGATGGGATGAAAGGCCATGATCCCCGACAGTGCATATATAGCACGTGCCATCACCGAGTTCAAGGGAACCATCAGATTTCGAGACACTTGACGGTTCTTCAGCGTGCAATTTCTGGAGGGAATTAAAGTAAACGCAATTCTTCCCATCACTAATCTCAGGAGAGTTCTGCATCCTTGCATTCAGTATTTCCTGCTTTGAAGCGGATTAAAGTGGTAGTAATGAGAGTAAAGGAATAACTTATCGAATCTATCATCGCAAACGAGACCCAAGACGATAAGCAAGACGACAACAACAACAACAACAACATCAGAGACCAACACCCAAAACAAGAAACCTAGACAACAACCTTCCTAGCCCAAGGCACCCTCCCGCCCCTCCCCTCAAACGGCACAAACCTCAAAATCTGTCCCTGCCTAACCAGCAACACCGAAACCAACAACCCCTTTGCAAAAGTCTCCATATCGCACCAAGGCAGGACAAACCGATCCCAGAACCAGCTCACCCACCCCTTCTTAACCACCTCCCTAATCATCGCATGGCCGCCATTCCAAATCGGCTTGACTTCGGTCTTTCGATCCTCCTGATACCTTTTGAAGGCACCCTCCAACTCCTCCGTCGATGGCTCCTTATCCTCCTCCCCCTTCTCATGTTGTTCAGAAAAAAGAAGGGAGTGCAACTCATTAGCCAACACAGCTCCCGAATGCAACCCGCACGTCATTCCAAGCCCATTAACACTAGTGCTCTTATGCACCGCATCGCCCACCAGCACGATGCGATCAAAGAACCAGCTGTCAAGAAACCCCTCCTCCTGGTTCAACATCCTCGTTGACTTTTTCTCCACCTTGGCCCACACATCACCGAACTTCACACTCGGACAGACCGCCACGTCCGCCAGCGAGGCGGCGTACTCATCCATTTCCTCTTCCGAGTATCTCGGACCGCGCTCAGCAGTCGGACCACCGGGTAAAGGCTTGAGCGTGACGAACTGCACAATCTCCTTTGTAGCCAAGCACTGCACCACCGCACCTCCGGGCTCCCCGCCCCCGCCTCTGGACTCGAAGAACACCTCGGGCTCGATGCCCAGGTCCAGGTTGGAAGCCCGGCCGAAGATGCCGTAGAAGGTCGAGACCATGGGCTTGTTGGCCAGACGGGCCGGGTTGAGCGCGTGCTGGGCCGCGAGCGAGTCCATGATTTGCCGCGTGCGCGAGTGCACGCCGTCGGCGCCGACGACGATGGAACCGGTGATGAGGGAGCCGTCGGCGAGGTGGACGTGCACGCCGGTGGCGTGGGGGCGGATGTCGGTGACGCGGGAGTTGACGCGGATGTTGGATTCCCGGCCTTTGAGGTGGGCGTAAAGGATTCTGACGAGCTCGGAGCGGAGGAGGGGGAGGAAGGGGTAGCCGTGGCTGGTGGTTGGGGTTGGAATTGTTAGTTTGAAGAGATGAAGGTAGGTAGGGAGAGAACTGACTTGTCTTGCATGGCATCCCAGAAGTTGCTGGTGGTGGTTACTTGGCCATTGTCGCCGAAGAGACGCTTCTTGTGGTGGATGCCCAAAGCAACCTTTTCAAGGTCCGCGAGGAGGCCGATTTGGTCGAAGAGGCGTACTGTTTGGGGCCAGGTGAAGAGAAGTTGGCCTGAGATGTTCAGGACGGTGTCTTGTTGTTCTAGTATCACGTAGTCGATGTTGGCCCGTTCAAAGGCGTGGGCCATGTAGAGGCCAACAGGCCCGCCACCCACGATGATGACTTTGAAGGTCATGACGGATCAAACGTATTCGATGAGAGATAGGGATTGGAGATGGAGTATCAAAATTGTTACCTACTTTGGCATATTGATGGGTGTATCTCAGCTTATAGCACGTCAGCTGCCGATCACTTCCCAGTGCCGTCATGATGTCTTGTTGCTAGAGACCGCCGTGCTTACTGGCCTCCAATTCGGACCATTCAGCCGCGGTGAGCAACCGAACATAAACACTACCGGCGATAAGGGTTGGTGGCATGTTTTTGCAACAATCTCGACTGTTACCAGGCTTGTAGTAACCACTTTACAGCACTCGTTCCTGCTTGAAGCTTTGGTGATGGTCCGATCTCATTCCCGAGGAACGGTGCTCCCAAACAGCCGCATGGGAACTTGTGTCTCCCGAACTGTTGCTTGGACCGGATGTTCCTTTCTACTGCTTGGCCATGTTTTGATAACCTTGATCGGCGAGTTGTGCGGCTCGAGTGGTCGGTATAGCTTCCAGAACGGACAGGAGCCGTGTGGTACTGAGAGAGACCGGACTCTATTCCAGGCAGAATTGTGCCAAGCCGGGAGTGTCCGTTTGATAGAGCTGTCCTCGGTGACTCGTCTGGCGCATAGGGCTTGTTCACTCCATGAAGGGACCCTGATTTCTGCACGGTCTTTATGTAAACCCTCCGGCCTCCGACGAGACTCGAGTCACAGGGAGAGGAAGATCATTCCGATATCGCTCATGGTGTGGACGGCTGTATTAGCAGATTGTTTTCCCTTTCTAGCGTACTACCACTGCGGCGGCATCATAAATGGAACATCACCCCCATGCGCCTTCGTGTGTATTTCGCATTCTGAGCATTTGCCGGATAGGGACCCGAAGACTATGTGTCTCAGGTCAGCAAATCCCATGCCAAATATCGATTGCCGCCATCGATTGCCGTGCTCCCGCTCCCGTCTTTCTGTGTCGCGGGGCTGACTCAGAAACGCCGTGCGACCACAACAAAGACAGCAACATGTCTTGGATTGGTTGGATTTCATCCTTTTGTGAAACGGGTCGAGCTTCGGCTATCGCGCAAGGAGGGACAAGGGACTTTTGTACGGCACGGGTCGGAGATCTTGGTCACATTGTTGACGGCTGATTCGATTGGAGACGGTTCGAAGGATGAAGTTGGAAAAAGCATCAGGACCCTGTTTTTAGTGGCAGCACTAACAATTAAGCCTGTGGCTAGCACTGCAACGGTCCCCTGTTGATCAAAAGCTTGGTGGGGTGGTGGGGTAGTTGTCTATGCACGCATGCGCATATCCGTTATAAGAATATCTCCCGCGGGGCCGTCTTCAACAACCAACACAATGACGGGAACACCCATCTGAGACAAAGAAACAACTCCTCACAAGAACCAGGTATTAGAGCCCCAATACTTCCAACACGCTCGGTTCCTGGCCAATGGTCTCACCGAACAAGGTGAACAACAGTGTTGAGCGGCAACCGGCGATATTTTGACCGTGAATGCATTCCCACCGGCAAGGTGAACTGACCATGATTTACAGCAAGACGCCGAACTAACCTCCATCCCTCAGAACTTGGGACATCACAGAAACTGCTCCAAGAACTCTCCAATAAGCTTGTTGACCTCCTTAGGAGTGTGAATCAAGACCCAATGCGACGCCTCAGGAATTACCTCCTTCCTCAACCCCTTAGCAAAGTACTTCTCCATGCCATCAGTCAGTTCTGGCGGCAACGCAGGATCATGGCCAACCATGACAATCATGGCAGGAACCTGGAACTGCCAGCATGCGTACTTCTCAGCCAGCGGTAGCTCATCCTCCAAGTTGATCTCGCGTGTGCGATACCAGTTCATCGGCCCTTGAAGCCCATTGCGCGAGTACTCCTCGACTATGCCCAGATACCAGTTAGCCATCACCAATTCTGACATACCAAAATCAATCGAAATGGAAAAAGGAGGCAACCTACCGTAAAAGTCCATAACCTCCTCCCCCACCAACGGCGACCCCCCCACCTCCTCCAGCCCCTCATCCAAATCCAACCCCTTCCACGGATCAAAAGCCATCACCCCCTCCTTCGTCACCCCCCCAAACATGGCATTCAACCACCCCCTCAACCTCTCCTTACTCCCCCCCACCACCTCTTCCACTTCCCCCCCTGCATTCTGCAACTGATACCCCAACTCCGGATGCTCTCTTACATGCTCCTCCAAGCTCGTCTCTTTCCCCTCCTCCGGCGGGCTGTAAGGAATACAAAACGCAAAAACCCCTTTAATCAGCTCAGGGTGGTAAATAGCCAGTCTCCAACCCAGGAAAGCGCCCCAGTCGTGGGTTCCCAGTAGAACTGGTCCAGAGGGGTTGACTTCGCGGATGGTGTGTGCCAGGTGAGAAGAGAGTTTTTTCAGGGAGTATTCGGCAGGCGAAGAGGGGGCGGAGGTGAGGCCGTAGCCGAGCATGTCGGGGATGATGACGCGGAGGCCGAGAGACAAAAGAAAGGGGATTTGGTAGCGCCAGCCGAGGGAGAGGTCGGGCCAGCCGTGGAGGAGGAGGACGGTGGCTTTTGGTGGGGAGGAGGCTGAGTCGGCGGGGTTGGCGAGGAGGTAGTGGTAGGTTAGGGAGGTGGAGGGGATGGTGGTGAAGTGGTGGGTGACCCGGGGGTCGGTGGGGGTGAGGGCGTCTGGGGTCATGATGTTTCTGGAGATCGGCAGGGAGACAAGAGATGGAATGAAAGCTGACAGAAGAAAGAGTAAACGAGAGGCGGATATGGCGGGATTGTGCTGCCTTATACTTACAGAAGGTATAAATATCACATCGGAGCAATTTGTCAAGCTGTCAGTCGGAGGGTTATTTGCTGCACAACATAGCTTGTTGGTGTCGACTCTCAATGCTGTGTATGTGTATGTGTACTCTCACGGCTCATCGGGGGTCAGTGTCAGCACAGGATGACATCGCTGACAAGTTCCGTCTCGTCTCGAGAAAAACCCAAGTTCAATGGGCTTAGATCTGACATTCAGAGATGGCATGACTTGTCCCTGCCAGCATTGAGTTGACCCTCTTAGCCGGTCACTTAACCTCTGTTTCGCACCTCTGTTGGCGTGTAATTTAGCATATGACAAGGACCCAGGGACATTTGTGCGCGTACGTATAATCGGTGGAATTTGAATATCTAGATCTCTATTGTATATGACCGAACAAACAATCTCTGATTTGGCTGCTCCTTAACAACTCAGCGCCATCCATCGACGCTCTTTTTACCATGGCACCTCAGTACCATCAACAGCATTGTAGAACTTGCCATTGGACTCCTTAGTGAGACCGTCGACCTACACACGGGAATTTGACGTCAGCAAAACAAACTCAATACCTCCCACAGGACAGAAAGCTCAAACTCACCAGCTTAACAACACCCGCCGCACTATCCTCCACCGTAACCGGCGCCTTATCGCCCAACCCCACCTTCTGCGCAACCCAATTCCCTGGTCCAGTCTGGACCAAACCCGGGTGCAGCGCAATGGTAGTCAACCACTCCTTCTGGCTGCTCGCAATAGCAGCAGTAAGCCAGTTCAACGCCGCCTTCGCGCCTCCATACGCCGGCAAGATCCAGGCTGCCAGCGCATCAACCAGCCCAATACTTCCAGCCGTAGTCGACACGCTCGCCCACTTGGGCTCTGTCCCCTTCTTCAGCAGCGGCAAAATCGCCTGGAAGAGGAGCAAAGGGCCGATGGCGTTGATGTGGTAGTTCTCCAACATGTCCTTGGTGTCGACTTCCTCGATGGGAACGGTGGAGGGCATGGCGCCCGCGTTGGCGATGGCGATGTCGATGTGGTCGATTCCTTGGGCGCGGATGGCCTCGACGGCGGCGGCGGGGTCGGTGGAGGAGGTGGATTCGATGTGCACGAGCAGGAGCTTGGAGCCGGGGGCCGTGGGAGAGGCCTTGAGCTCGGCGACGGAGGGCGTGGAGAGGTCGCGGACGGAGCCGATGACGGTGTGGTTGGGGCGGGAGAGGTAGAGCTTGGCGATGCCGGCGCCGATGCCTGAGGAGGGTTTTGCGTTAGTTTTTGCTAAGGGGTGGGAAGGGGGGTTGAAGGGAGAGTTTGAGAGACGTACCCTTGCCTACACCACTGATGAAGACGACGGTGGAATCTGTCACGGCCATGGTAATGTACGGTTCTTGGTGGATTTGGTAGTTGTTCTAGGATAGTGCTGTTCGAAGAGGATGGAGGTTGAGCTGTAGAAGCAACGTTGTTTGTAACCACGGAGCCTTTTAAAGGGTTACAGAGAGTAGTGATACTGCGTATTTGTCATTCCATGGAGGAGCTGGCTGACCAAGCTGCTTGCTTTCCCTCGTGGTCAGCCATCACGATGTCTCGAAATGACGACGACGTGGGTGGGCAGGACACGATGCGGCGTCGTGCTGGGCCGCCAGTGCGACCACATAGTGCCTGGATGTGGATGGAATCATTTGGCGACAGGGCGATTGATCTTTGTCTTCATTGAGAAATATTGTACCAGCCTTGGAAGGCAGACAAGCCATGTACTGGGCGCGTTGCGTAACGTGAACCGGAGAGTTTTTGGAACTTTGATGGTGGTGATGCAAATGGAAGATGAAGAGCGGCGGTCTGTCTTACAGGCTCTACAGCGGCTGGTTCAGCAGACAACAGCGACTGCAATCCATGGATGTCGGGTAGGCTGCCCGCAAGGTACCCTTGCCTTCATCTCTGATTGGTTCAAACACCCTGGCCGCTGCCGAAACGGGCAAAAAGTCTTGTAGTCACCGGATTGGACCCACTTCTTTGCAGACGGGACGAACGAGTGTTGACGATCGATACTGAACGAGCTTCCCCTACCACCTCCCGTTTACTCCAGCCGTGGATGTCCCTGATGCCGTGTCGATACGAGTCTCTCACCCAGTTTCACACGTAACCGCCGTGGTTAACTATCCGGAAGCTCACACTCGATTCTGCGAGGCCCAGCTAGTTCCCAGAACAACGCCGGGCTCTTGTTCCGTGCATGCTGATGGCACTTGTCCCCCGAGCGATGCCAGACATTGCAACACCCAGGCTTCGAACAAAGTGTTGCTTACACACCGAAGACTCCGACAGATATCTCTACCTCTCGTGCTGACTAGCTGCTCTCTAGATATCACCATGCAAGGATCTTGAGACTCCCTATCGTTTCCCGGTCTGAGGCATCACCTGAGGTATCACCATTATCCCCTCGGAAGATTCGAACTTATGATCATTACCGTGCCATCGACTCCCATAATGTCTACGGATGGATTCATAACATGATTGTGAGAATACAAGAGCACTTCTGAGAATCATGTTCACTCATTCTTACCCCCCTTCTCCCCTCCATCATTCTCCCACCACCGCTCGCTCGTCACTCAGCACACGACGATCATCCCTGAGCAAGTCAATGATGGTGCCTCAACGACAGAAGTTTGCCCTAATTACAGGGTGCGGTGCCGGTGGCATCGGGGAGGCCCTCATCCTCGAGTACCAGCGCCGCGGCATCCACCCCATCGCCACTCTTCTCCCCTTCGAGTCGAGCGAGCATCTTGACAAAGCCGGGATTACTTGGCTCAAACTGGATGTTACCAACGAGGAGTCTGTTGTTCAGTTGAAGAAGGATGTTTCTGAGTTGACCAAGGGGCGTTTGGATTTCCTCGTTAACAATGCGTAAGTTTTTATGCCGTTGAAAATGGAGATGACGGCCAAGCCCACAGACTGACTTGTTGTGGATTGCAGTGGCATTTGCTACACTATGACAGCCATTGACACGGACGTCAAGTCTGTTCAACGCATGTTCGATGTCAACCTCTTTGGACCGATGCGGATGGTACATCATTTCCATGATATGCTGATTACGTCGTCTGGGATCATCGTCAACATTGGTTCCATTGGCGGCATTGTGCCTTTTGTCTACGGATGTAAGTGTTCCTTCTTCTCATAGACAGGTAAAGATTATGGCTAAACTTAACAACAGCATCCTACAATGCATCCAAGGCCGCTCTTGCGCACTGGGGCAACAGCTTGCGCGTAGAGCTGGCACCGCTCGGCGTTAGGGTTCTAGTAGTAAGTTATGAGCAACACGACCAAATCTTGTCAAATATGTCCGCTCACAGTTCTGCCATTACAGATCATCTCCGGAGAAGTTGGCACCAACATCCTCAAGAACGACCACGGAAGGTCCCTACCCGAAGGTTCATACTACTCACCAATGGCCGAGGAGTTCAAGAACCACGTCCACAGGACGCCCGGTAAGCCCCCTCCACACATCATGTACTCCATGCTGCAGCCTTCTAACAGTAACTACCAAGATGCTGCCACCGATCGCTTTGTCTACGCCAAGAACGTCGTCGGCGAGTCCCTCAAGAAGTCCCCTACCACTTGGTTCTGGACAGGAAGCTATTCGGGCGTTATTCGCTTCTTGCATACCTTCTTTCCGAAAACGATATTTGTACGTGTTCCGGAATGCCAATCTGATTGGGGGATTTTGCTGACTGGTCATTTATAGGATCGCTGGTTCTCGAGCATGTTCAACCTGGCTAAGCTGAAGGAAGCGCATGATGCGGCAATGAAGAAGAAGGTGGATTGACTGTAACCCTTTTCTTTGCCGCTAGAATTCCTGGTAACCCAGGGTGTTGATTTTTGGGATATTGGTGGTCATGGGTCTTGTTTAGTGCGTGCTAGGACGTCGAATTCAGCTTCAGATCAAATGCATCATTGAGAAAGAATGAAAGTATTCCAGATCGTGCTCCAACAATCCCGCTATCCCGCCCCATCTTCAGTTCCAATTACTAAAGTTTCTGTTCCCACTTTGTGCATATCCAAAAAAGTGTCCTGGTGTTGGTCAAAAGGAGGGGCATATTCCATTATATCCCCCCTTTTTCGACGCATTCCATCCTAGGAGCAGCCAAGGTTTCTAACTCCCAACAGTTCGGAAAACGGTGAGTGAGGTCTACGATTTCAAAACCATTTTAGGGGACCGAAAAAAACAATGAAAGTAAAAAGCAAAATGAAAAAAAAAAAATATTTCACCATTCAGAGAAGACCCCAAAAAAAGATGACTACAATGGCAGAAAACATGCTCTTTGGAAATTTTGCTCGCACAAGAAGCTTTCCACTACAGTCCAATGCTGGTTTGTTTGCTAGCTTGGTACTCCTGGTATATTGGAAGATATCCATCCCGAATTGTCCTAAACCTCTTAAGGACACATTGAATAGCTAAGCACGGATCGAAAAGGCATTAATAAGATTCAATATCACATATTGAACTTCGGAAAGAGCATATTCAAGGTAAGATTACGCTTTAATCATGAAACCGAACGAATCAATTAGACATAAAAACACCTAGGGAAGTTGATCCGAGGTCTTGAGCTAACAATTAAACCAGGGTTGGAGTGTATTCTCAAATTTCAACATTCTCACGCAAAACCCGTACTATCAAAGACAGAAGGCACCAATCTACCGCCCCTCATAATGCTCCTTCAAACTCCCCAAATACCCCTCAACCTTCTCCCCCCTCGCATCCACCACCTCCTTACAATCCAGCAACACCCACATCACCCTCCCCGGCAGCGTTCCGTTCCCCGTGACATTCACCCACTTATGCGCCGTCGCTCTCTGCACGCTCACATCCCCCTGGCGCATGATCCGCTTCTCGCCCGAATCCAGAATCAACTCAAACACGCCCTCAACAATAATACCGTAGTCAATCGTCATGGCCCGGTGGAGGGGGGACTCGACGCCGGGGCCGAAGTCGATCATCCGGACTATGGAGCCGGATTTGTAGTGGAAGGGGGGCTTTTTTGGGGGCGTTTTAGTATGTACTGGTTCACAAGGGAGGGAGGGTTGGAAGATGCGCCGGGGAAGAAAAGGAAGGAAAGGAAGGGAAATAGAGAGAAAAACAGACCTCCTCCCCCCTAGCCTTCTGGATATCGACATTGTTGTTGAGATCAACCGGGGTCTCCTGAGTGGAGTAGAGCAGGTTGGAGATGGCTTGGTTCTGGACCATGAAGCGGTGGTGGTCGCCGTGGTCGGAGTGCAGGAAGACGGATTCGCCTCGGTCGTTGAGGCCGGTGATGTGCCGGACGATTTGGCGGAGGCCGGGGGCGGGGAAGGATTCGACGTAGTAGCCGTTGGGGTTATTGTTGGGAGGTGCCATTGTGAATGGGGGGCGAGGGAGGAATGATGATAGGTGGAAGCGTTGGAACTGTATGAGGAAGCTGTGGGAGGTGTGATGTTTGATGAATCAGGAGATAATGCTGTGGAGGAATATGTGTTGAGATCTCTTTATGAAGTTCTTGGGGATGTGGTATGATGACCTGATGTTGTTAAGTTAAAGATGTTTGTCACCGAGAAGACGAATTATCGGGGGTTATGGGCTTTCGAGGTTGTAGTGAGCCTAGAACCGAGAGACAAATCCTCCGTACACAACAAGATTTTGCTCGCCCATAAGATCTGATCGTACCAATTCGCAATTTCTATGAGAGTACACCCTTGATCAACCTCCGGAATATCAGATCCCAATCAAACATGAGCAGCAAGCGTGGTGCCCCCATCCAAAATCATGTTGCACCCCGTAGCATAGCTCGCCCTCGGACTAGACAGAAACATGACCGCATCGGCAACTTCCTCGGCCAGCGCAATCCTTCCGAGCGGAACGGCTTTCTGGATCATCTCTCCGAGTTCGGGAATATCATCCATCGCCTTGCGAATCATAGGGGTATCGACCCACGACGGACACACGCTATTGACACGGATGCCATGTTTGGCGTTATCGAGTGCTATCGGTCAGAATATCGTCAGTAAAACACCGGAACGGACCCTTTCTGCTACCCCACCACTAAGCAGGCACGGTAGTTTATGTAACCCAACTCCAACTCATGGAACCCAACAACTTACCAGCATTCTTGGTAACACCATTAACTGCATGCTTGGCAGCCGTGTACTGGACCATGCCTGGGGTAGCAACGAACCCCGATGCTGACCCTAGGTTGACGATGCTACCCCGTGAGACACCCCGCGCGGGAACGGCTTCGTCAACGGGAACGGGGTCTTGGGTCTTCATGATGGCTGAGAGAACGCGGGTGACGAGGAAGGTGCCGGTTACGTTGACTTTGAACATCTTCTCAAACTCGGAGACGCTGGCTTCGGCGATTTCGTTGGCCAATTGCACTCCGACCTGTATCCGAGACGGGAGGTGTCAGTGTGGGCTGGTGATTGGGGGCTCATTGGTAGGGCTTACACCAGCGCTGTTGACAGCGTAGTCGATCCGACCTAGGATTTGGTGTGCATATGCGATGGCTTCATGAACCGATTCTTCCCTTGTGACATCAACGGCAACTGCTTCGGCCAAGAAGCTCGGATGGGCAGCAAGAGATTTGCACTCTGCTGCCACGGCTGAAGCAGCTTCGAGGGTAAGATCCGCTACGATGATGCCTCGAGCACCATACCGGGCAAAGGCCAATGCGCAAGCCTTGCCAATTCCGCTTGCTACAAGAAAAGTCAGTCAGTTGGAGATAGTGAGCAAGAGTAATTGATGAGGGAAGTACCTCCGATAACGAATGCCGAGCCAGTGAGATCCATGTTCTCGTGTTGTAGCGATGTCTAGCTAGCAACAAAACCGAGTGTCATCCGCGCCGAAGGATACCATTTTATGCATCGGAGGGACGACAGTCGCTGAAGGTTACAGAACACCGGGAACACCGAGTGGCGGAATAAGCTAATGTCAGTCTCATGTTCTGCTTTTCCAGATCTCATCAATTGAGCTCGGCGCGGGTGTGAGATTGGAGGTGGGATTTTGATGCAGGTCAGCTTTGTGTAAGACGGAGATGGAGGCAATAACCGCCGGCGTTGCATCCCGGGAGTGACCCCCAATCCGACTAAGCAAATGTTAGTTTATCTAGCAAAAAGTCATTGTTCGTGGAAATGCCGTAGTGAGATTCCGTATTCGTGAACCGAACCCGAGATCGATGGCTGGAGCAATGCAATTGATCCGCGCTTGGGTATCGGGCGGTAGTTGACCGTCAAGAGCATGAGGAACCGGTAGATGAAACGGACTATAGGATATGCAACAATCTTGATGATATAACTTCAGAGGTTGACTCTGTGCTTTTCTTCACCATCAACTCAAAACTTCCACCACTATCATCCCCTCTGCCCTGTCCACCTACAAGTTTTACCTTTCCTTGAGAATGTCCACCTCCGGCCCCATCACCGAGTTCCCCGCTCCCGGCCTTCGGGATCCCTTCCGCTACATCACCGGCCACGACGCCGAAGGAAACGCCGTCTTCGTCCAAACCGACAACGGCGACCACCGGGCCGTCATGCTCGGCGGTGCCGCCGCGCAAAACATCCTCTACAGCGCTGGCTCCAACCCCATCGAGCTCACCGGCAACGTCGATCTCGAGTTCGCCAAGAACAGGGTTCGTCCTTCCCATTCGTCCCCCTTTTTCACCAGCAAAGATATTGACAAAAAACAGCCCTCCCTCCACATCCCCAACGGCGTCTGCGTCCGCATGATCGACTTCGCGCCCGGCTGCAAATCCAACATGCACCGGGCCCTCTGCATGGGCATCGGCACCGTGTGCGAAGGCGAGGTCGAGCTCACGCTCGGCAGCGGCGAGAAGCGCATCTTGAGGCCCGGTGATGTCTCGATCAACCGCGGCGCGATGCACCAGTGGCGCAACACGTCGGACGAGAAGCCGGCGAGGATGCTGTACACGCTGCTGGACATCAACCCGCTGATTGTCAATGGCAAGCAGCTGGACTTTGATATGGGGTATTTGATGAAAGAGTATGCGGAGTATGATGAGGGGAAGGGGGATAAGAAGGATGAGTAGATTGGCTGGTGGTGCTGGGATAGGGTGGTGGTGGAGTAGTTACGCTAGATGCATCATAACCAATACTGCGAACTTCCATTTTTTCTCGACCTCTGGTGATGATCCCTGGTACGTCTTGAACTTGACCGTGAATGTGAGACCTCTGGATGAAATGACGCTCATGGCGCTAAGAGAACCTGAATCGTAGTCTTCATCCTGCTACAGTCACCGTGAACATCCCTCTTGGGGGATCTGATGTGCCCAAAATGCTGCCAAGTTGATGAGGATAGATATTCCTAAGTCTACAACCGCTCAACTGCAGTTGTGAATCTAGAAGCCACAAGATGCCCAGAAAGAATGTTAAACCCCCCAGAGGGGACGAATAGAACCAGATATGGGTATCACACAGATACCAGACGAGTGCGGGGAGTTCTGTGGCTGATTGGGTAAGGCATGATGCTCCTAGAGCGCTGTAAACCGTTGAACGGGCTGAAACGGGCTGGGCTGGACGGTCAGCAGGAAGCGGCCCGCACTACACCATCACCACCAGAATTGAATCATGACGGCACTTGCCGTTCGTCCGTCCGGCACGCTCAACGTCACTATCCGTCCAAGTGTAGAGGTAGCGTTCATGTTTGCTTTCTAAGAGTTTGTTATCGATATCAACGATCCGGTCGCGGTGTTATCAGTGCTGTAAGGTCGTATAACCGCTCGGCGGTCCGAGACCGTGAGACGGGGGAAATGGTGGGCGCCGATACTATGTCTCTTGGGCGCGAGGAACTTTGGCGATACCACTACATAAAGACCGTCCGTCGTTTACTGAACGAAACGGGCCTTTCTTTTCAACGAATAACGGCATGTGCTTGACCGTCTTTCTTACAGGGTACGACGCAAAACACACAAGTTCCCCTTCAACTGGACCATGATTATTACTTGCCCAGTTTAGTTTGATGTACTGTCCCTTTGACGGACTCCGCTTGTGATCGGCTCTTGTAGGGCTGAGGGGTATGTTTGCAAATGGCCTGAGCTTGAAGAGAACGGGATACAATCTTCGTGGGCCTTGTTCAATCTTAATGGGTGAAACTTTGGTGGGTATGATGAAACTGGCAGATACCCTCCGAGACGGGAGCGATATCTCGTCTCAATCCGGCGCAGCAAGTTTGAGAAACGGTGGCCTGCGCAAGTAAGACGATGAAACCTTGACTTTATCTCCGATCTCAAAATTGCACGGTCAATGATACCCACGGGGTGCAGCTCCCGTAGCACACTACCGGCCCATGTGCCGAGGGAACAGCCGCTTGTCATGTTTATTATGGAATGCAGTCCGTTTCAATGTACAACATCGCAAAGAAAAACTGGGGATGAATAATGGCAGACATGGGGTAAGTAGGTTGTAGGACTGCGGTTCTTTACCGATGGCTTCATTCAGGGCGACTACGACCCCGAACTCAGAGCTGGTGTAGCCTGGGTAGCTCTGACTGCCACTTGACTCGAGCCCAGACACCGCTTTTCTGTCCAGTCCTTATGATCATAGCTTTAAGCTTACCGAAACACGTTCCGTACAGCATTCCGGGGGCAATGTTGAACATGATAGCTGACGTTTCTGGTAGGCATGCAAGGATCTTCAGCAAGATAGTCAAATGCACCAACGGCAACGGGACTGTCTCCATTTCTCCATGTTCATCCCCACTAGCACCTTACGGCTCACTCACAGCGTGGGGGAAGCGAAGCCGGATATGCCCCATCAGGGGAAGAAGTGAATAAAACATCGGATATTGCATAAAGGGCTCCAAGCGGGGCCGAGACGGATATCGGTGTTTCCCTTACCGCGCGGTAAGATAGTGTCCGTACTCCATGCTACTCCATACACGGCGATGAACTGGGTAGCTTCGTACCCTTGGGAACAGCATAGCTCCAACCGCTTGGCCATAGAACTTGTGCAAGTCGTTATCCCGTGAATACCTTCGGCGTGCTCATTCAGGAAGATAACCGAAGAAAGAGGCCATCATGGATGGAACTTGTGTAAACCGCAGTCCTCCGTACGCGAGTAAGCCGGCGATGATGATGATGATCACGATGATTGTCTTTGACCTCGACGAGGAAACAAACAACGTATAAGAAAGATGATCATGCTCCCGATCAAAGCACAACTTACCCTCTAGAGCATCATCAGCATCATCATCATCACATCAACGACACATTCGTGCTTCCTCCTCAAAGCATTCAGACTCCCATCTCTTCACCAACCGTTGACAGGATACATCTCCACCCACCAAATCTTTCAAGATGGCCCCTCACAGCACCGTCGACTCCGACTACTCGTCCGGTTCTTCCACGCCGACCAGTGCCAGTGCCGATGGCTTCGTCGCCGGCCTCAACGGACTTAACAATGGGCGCGCCGTGGACCCTCAAGAGCCCATCGCTATCATTGGAATGGGTAAGTCCAGCCACTAGCCACACTCGTGACCGCATCCCACCTTCCCCGGATCAAGGCTAACACCCGCTTACTAGGATGTCGTCTGCCCGGTGGAAGCCACTCCAGCTCCAAGCTCTGGGAGCTTCTCAAGGCCGGGCGCACCGCCCAGAGCCGCTTCCCGCCGTCGCGCTTCAACATCGACGGCTTCTACCACCCCAACTCGGACCGGCCCGGCTCGCTCAACATGGAGGGCGGCTACTTCATCGAGGACGACATCCGCGGGTTCGAGAACTCCTTCTTCGGCATCAACAACCTCGAGGCCACGTACATGGATCCCCAGCAGCGCAAGCTGCTTGAGGTTGTCTTCGAGACGTTTGAGAATGCTGGTTTCACCCTGGATCAGGTCTCTGACGCCAACATTGGCTGCTATGTTGGTAACTTCGTGACGGATTTCATCACCATGCAGCTCAAGGACTCCGAGTATACCCATCGCTACTCGGCGACCGGTCTGGGCACCACCATCTTGGCTAACAGGATCAGCCATGTGTTCAACATGAAGGGACCCAGTTTCGTCATCGACACTGCTTGCTCGTCCTCGCTGTACTGCTTGCATGCGGCTGTTACCGCCTTGCTCGCCGGAGAGTGCGACTCTGCCATCGTGGCTGGTGCCAACCTCATCCAGTCTCCTGAGCAGCAGCTCGCCACCATGAAGGCCGGTGTCCTTTCCAAGACCTCCACCTGCCACACATTCGACTCGTCTGCCGATGGTTACGGCAGAGCTGATGGCATTGGCGCCATCCTGGTCAAGAGGCTCAGCGATGCCATCCGTGACGGAGACCCGATCCGCTCCGTCATCCGTGGCACTGCCATCAACTCCAACGGCAAGACCAACGGTATCACCCTACCCAGCGCCGATGGCCAGGAAGCCGTGATCCGCAAGGCCTATGCTCAAGCCGGTCTTGGCTTCGACGAGACCGACTACATTGAGTGCCACGGTACCGGTACCGCGGTCGGTGACCCCATCGAAGTCGAGGCCGTGTCCCGCGTGTTCAAGAAGCCCCAGGGTGCTCCCCTCCTGATCGGCTCCGTCAAGAGCAACCTCGGTCACTCCGAGGCTGCCTCCGGTCTTTCCAGCATCATCAAGGTCGCCATGGCCCTCGAGAAGGGTGAGATCCCTCCCACGTATGGCGTCAAGAACATCAACCCCAAGATCAAGACCGATGAGTGGAATGTCCAGATCGTCACTGAGACGACCTCTTGGCCGAAGAACCTTCCTCACAACGCCAACAGGATCTTCCGTCGCGCTGGTGTCAACTCCTTCGGATATGGCGGTGCCAACGCCCACGCCATTCTTGAGGCTCCCCAGATGCACGTCCCGGTTGGATACAACCGCGGCTCCCTGCCGGCTTCCCTCACCCGCTCGACTTTGTTCCTCCCATTCTCTGGTTCTAACACCGCTGCTCTCGAGCGCAGAGTCACTGACATTGCGGCTGCGATTGACTTTGACAACGTCAATATCGCTGACCTGGCCTACACCCTCGGTGTCAAGCGCACCCACCTCAGCACTCGTGGTTACATCCTCAGCGGCCAGGACTCGCTTAAGGATGACCTCAAGCCCGAGAACTTGCGCGTCGCTCTTCAGGGCAAGACCTCCTCCAAGCTCCCCTTGGCTTTCGTCTTCACCGGCCAGGGCGCTCAGTGGCCCGAGATGGGCAAGGAGTTGATGAAGGAGTTCCCCAGCTTCCGTCGTACCATCCAGAGGCTCGACGCTGCTTTGCAGATGCTCCCGCATGCTCCCACCTGGACTCTCCAGGGCGCCATCCTTGAGCCGGCCAAGACCAGCATGATCAACCATGCCTCGCGCTCTCAGCCTGTCTGCACTGCTGTCCAGGTTGCCCTGGTCCAGCTGCTCGCTTCTTGGGGCATCAAGCCCGAGAGTGTTATCGGCCACTCGTCCGGTGAAATTGCCGCTGCCTACACTGCCGGCTATCTCACTCCCGAGCAGTCCATCATCATCGCCTACTACCGTGGTCACTGTGTCACCAAGAGCACCATGGTCGGTGCCATGATGGCTGCCGGCCTCGGCGCTGAGGATGCCATCAAGAAGATCAGCGAACTTGGCCTCGATGGAAAGATCCGCGTTGCTTGCGTCAACTCCCCCGAGAGCGTCACCATCTCCGGTGACACCGAGGGCATCGAGACTCTCCGTGCCCAGTTCGACCAGGCCGGCACCTTCGCTAGAGTCCTCAAGACTGATGGCAAGGCCTACCACTCTCACCACATGGCTGTCATTGGCCAAGAGTACGAGGACCTCCTCACCGAGGCTCTCGACGGCGATGACTTCCCCACCACTAGCAATGGCGTCCGCTTCATTTCCTCTGTCACCGACGCCGTCGTAAACCACGCCGTCGGACCCGCCTACTGGCGCGCCAACCTCGAGTCCCCCGTCCTGTTCGCCAACGTCGTCGAGCGTCTCATCAAGGACACCGCCTCGCACCTCGTCGAGCTCGGCCCTCACTCCGCTCTCGAGCTTCCCATCAAGCAGACGCGCACCAAGCTCAACATTAGCGAGACTAAGGTGCACTACGGCTCCGCCCTCTCGCGC